CCAGAAAAACCCAATCTCATTTATTATGAGATGCATATGCAATGGTTAACTTAAAATTATATAAATCCATCTATTATGTCAATCCATCTATTTGCAATTAGTGCATCACAACACAATTAAACGAACCTCAGCTTCACACATGGTTCAGGACATCAAAGATCAAATGCACACATAAAGACATTTAGAAATTAGATGCAGTTTAACATCAAGCAAATTAAACTCAGAGAGAAGTTTCTAGTCCTCCGGGATAACCATAATATAACACCTGCTTTCCATGCACAAAGACCAGGGTTAAAGAAAGACTGCTTGGAAAGACTCTAGAAAGCATCCGCCTGCCAGTGAAGACCTTCCTTCTCTAACTTTGTATCCAGATGTGCTGGAATAGAACTCTCCAGGCACTCTTTCCACTGATTTCTGGGAATGATGGGAAGCCAGTTGGGGAATTCTTGGAGTTGAAGTCCACACATCTTAAAGTGGGCAGGTTGAGAAATTGATATATATCAACCATGTTGAGGTAGATAATGGACCAATGGTCTGTCTCACTCTTTTTAAGAGTGCCAAGATAAGTTTTGATTGAGGAGATATCACTGCTGTAGATCAGGGATTTTCAAACTTTTTCAGGCCATGGAACCTGGTAGTTTAAAAAAAAAAATCTGAAACCTCTGATCAAGCGGCAAAGCTCTAGTGGTAGAAATGTGGCTGCATTTGAGTGATTTTTTTCCCTCCTCAAGCTCTGATGGAACCCCATGAAGTTTTCATGGAAGCCTATGATTCCATACAACACAGTTCAAAAAACACTGCTGTAGACAACCAGAGAGGAATATTTAGAACACGAGGCCAGGTTTTCTACACTTTCATAACTCTTTGAAATACATCATAAAAATAAAAGTATCCAGACACTTAAGGACACAGAAACAAGCGTTCAAAAGATTCCCGATTTATATTCAAGAATGCTCCCCAAAAACTAGGATGGGCCATTCGACCAATTCTGCCCCCCCATAAAACTTTTGTTAATTGACCAAAAATGAAGATTAATAAAGTTAAATGTGAACTTCATTAGAACATAGGTATAATTTTTATGCCAATTGCATGGTTTATTAATACAAAAATCCAATTAGGAAAGTCTTTATCAATATAATGGCTACATTGTGGTTTAACTTTTATTCCCAAACACTAGTTAGACAATGGGTGGGGGGATTTCTTTGCAGTTAAACTCCACTGTTACTAGAAGGTTTCCCCCTGAAGACCAAAGAGGGGGGGGGGGAAATTGCCTGTTTATGCTTATTGGATCCCCAAAATTCTGCATTTCACTCCACCTCTAATGCTATTTGCATGTTGAAAAATTATACTTTAAATTTAAAAAGGTATTTTCAACTTAGTCTAAGATTCAGACTTGTACAAGAATTTTATAAATTTCTGGTTCATCCATTCATAATTTAAAAATCAGTTAATTTTTAAGGTGTCATAATAGCCTTTTTCCCCCCAGCTGCAGAAGACCAACACAGCTGATTTCTGGAAACTCTTCCAGAAGGGTATGCAAGCTTCTGAATTCTCCAAAACTTCTCATCAAGTTTTGGGAAGTGCAGATACTACCCAACTATGATTAATTTTTTTCTCCCGTGGACCATCATGGCTTTATTGAACCCTAATTCAGACACATTATAAATGCTCTAATTATATTGTGATGGTTGCTGAGGAACGATCTTTCATTAAGCTGAATGCTTGCTGATAGCTGGGGAGGGCAACTGAGGTTTTCTTGACCAACTAAAATATAGCAGAAATAAGATATTGCCCTAAAAGGGAGGTTTGAGAGGAGTCTTGCCAAGAGAGAAATAAGATGGCTTAAATATGCCAATGAAACCCAGCAAGGGCCAAAGACGCATTGAAGCATTCTTAGATTAAAAGACCCATGGAACCAACCAGGGAGTTGAGTTTTCATAGGAAGGAAAAAGGAACTTTTGTTGAAAGTTTTGTGGAAGAAAGTTTTGTAAACCAGAAAAATGTGTCAATGCCACGTCTATAAAAGAATTTCTTTTGAAGCTTTTTGAAACTGCTGCCTCAGGACCCTTTGTGGCTCCAGAAGAGCAGAGAGGATAACCGTACAGAATTTCTAGCTTTTTACAGATAAAATTTAGAAGCTGCCTAAACTGGCAGGACCTGAAAAAGGCCAGTTCTCCGCTATTCCTCTCAGCTGTTGTGATCCTTTCAAGCTGTCCTCAGAACTACCAATATTTTCTTTTCACACCTGTTCCAGCTCTTTGGGACTACAAGGCTCCCTATCCTGAGTCAATACCTGCAAAAGAAACGGATTATGGGAGTTGCAGTCCAACACATCTGGAGGGCACTGGTCATTTATCCGGAAATTTAATCCTAACAATTCTTGTATAGAGGATTATACATGACAAGAGGGGGGGGGGGGGGGGGCTCATTTCAGCTTCCAGACAACAACCCGGGGAGGGACTTTAAGGATAAGAAGCACAGGGAGAGAAGTCACTCCCCTTCCCATCCTTAAACCTCTCCCATCCAGGAAAAATTGACTGAATTTATAGCATTCACACTTGGACATTTTAATCAAATGTCAGCCATGTAATTTTAGCCCACTTTTGAACAATAGGGTGGATGATGGGCTTAAGTGTGGGAAAGGGGGTGTTTACCTCTCATAACTTTCTGCACTAACTGCTTATTTTTGCAAGGGGGGGGGACAGGTAGGAAAAGAATATTTGACAATGTACTGCTGTAGTTTGGTTGTACAAATTCAGAGTCCTGGGAAAGGTTGCAAAAGGAGCGTTGATGGCCCGGACATGGAAAGAGCTGGAAATAAAATTGGACCAGAATGGGTTGACTATCAGATCTACCACACTGCAAAGACCCTCACCAAGCTTCCCTCAAATCCATTGACCCATCTTGCATACCCATGTAAAAACTGACCTCTTCATATCCACTTAACTTTCATACGCCCCAGATACGTAATTCAGCATTTGAATGAACATCCCCTTGGCTTCTTATCGAAGAGGAAAACATCGCTCCACCAATCTTGTTTAATTCAGCCAAGCTTTGCCTAAAAGAAGCTCGTCCTCACTGGTCTCATGAGAGACAAGGGCATAGTTTTTGCAGCGCAGCTACCTCAGCTTCTCAGATGTGTTGGAACTAGAACACCCCTAATTCCCAGGCAACCCATGTGGGACTCTGGGCATTGTAGTCCCCCAGCATCTAGAGGGAGGCTTGGCAGAGATCAAACATACCCCATGCTGCAGTATGTTGCAAACAGCTGCTAGAAGGGTTTGCACTTAGCTCATGCAAAGAAGGGGAGAAAACTTCTCTTAGCAATCAGAAGCCGGCAGTTCCACAAACAGAACAGAGAAGGGCACTCGTGGGGGTGGCAGGATAGCCTAAGGGTCAAGCAGCAATTTTGTCTGCAGAAATCCATAGGGTTCAATTCCAATCATCCGCAGTTAAAAAGGGTTTAGTGGTCCATCAGCTGGGAAACATCTTTAAGTCTATGAACTGCTGCCTCAAAAGTCAGGACTAGGTTAAATGGACAACTGCCTGATTCAATATATTGCCTGCAAGCTGATTATCTCTTTTCTGCCTAACTCTTAAATATTAGTATTTGGTATGTACTTATATCTAAGCACCACACAAGACCTATTTTTCCCCACAACAACCCTGCAGGGTAGGATGGGCCAAGAGAGGGTGACTGGCCCAAAGTCACACAGGGAGCTTCCAGAGATCCGCTCCTAGTCGAACTCCTTAACCATACTGGCATTCAAAGTTTCTTCTGGGTTTTGAGCCAGTGACCTTCTATTTACAAGGCAAGTGTTATAACCTTGTTGCTCTCTAGATTTACTACGCACAAATTCTTGTCATTCAGATGTCCTGACTCAAACTCTCTTGACCACAGGATATCCGTTCACCTCTTTCTTCTCCTCTTACTTCTTCTAGAGGCTCCCTCCCCCAAATCTTTCATGAGCCCCGACCTCCCAATTCACATATTGCACTAAGCCATACTTTGTTAGGGTCTCCTGAGTAAGCCACAATGGGTTGAAGTCACAAACTGTAGTTTCCTAACCACCATGACTGGATTCACACAATGTATCTGCATGATGGCTTAACCCCAAAATTCCTCCTAGTCATTACTCAGCCGCCTAAAGGGAGCTTCCATGGACAGAGGCAGTGTATCTGTAAACATGAGGCACAAGGGCGTGTGCAAACCACCGCCGCCGCCGCCGCCTCTGGTCTGCTTCCCGAACGCATTCGGCTGGCTACCCTGGACGTGATCCGCTGAGACCTGCCTAAATGGCCCTTTGCCGTCTCACGTTGTGACTGAGAAAGGGACTACACTGCTCAAATTCAGGGAGGTCAGGCCTGCTAACGGCTCGTAGATGCGACCGCTAACAGAAAGCGACGGTAAGCTCAATTTCTCTCTGAACGTCGAAGAGGAGCAGCTTCCTGCCCCCCCCCCCCT